TACCTTTTCTGTATAGTTTACTTTCTTGGATGAGGCTTAAGAATAAAAGACAGGAATTAATATTTGTCACAGTCTCAGATAAGATTTTTAAAATATACAGGCAAGAGATATTTATGCTTTATTACACCATAAATTTGACCACAGTTTACAGATTTAAATGTAACTGAATATAATAGGATTCTCCTGAAGCCAGTGCACAGAATGAATAAGAACACTAAAAAAAAATAGGTTTATAATCCTAAAGTAATATTTTTGTGTGACTATGATGCTTCCTTAACTTTGACAGAAGGTAAGTCAAATTTTATAAGACCTGGAGTGATCATAAACACTTTTAATTAAAAGTGAATCACTCAGTTTTAACAATACATGAAAGGTTTAAACAGCCTTTTGTTCTCCACCGCTGGAAGTAAAACAAAAAGAATACACGGCATCCTAAAGAAAAGTACTTGGTACTTAAAGTCGCACACACTCATTACGGCTGATTTGTGTTAGTAGAAACTGACTGTAATGTTCCAGACAAGGCTTTTGGTAGGTGATATCTACGACTACGCAAATAATAAATGACTGCTTCTGATAAGAACCTTTTCGATGTTCAAGTAACCCACCTTCCAGGATACCTAAGGGATAGCTTTTCATGCCTTGATGCACGGCAGCACGGGGAAAATGCGTATTTTTTCAAAGATATTTTTTTACATGTAAAAATATTAAGTTTTGTATAGGTAACACAGGCATCTGGTTAAAAAAAATCAAGTGATACAAATGCGTATGCAGTGAAATGTAAGTCTCCCCTTCTTTCTTGTCTTTCAGTTTCCCAGATTCTCTTCTCAGAATCAACTTTTGTTAATTTCTTGAATCACTCCGGAAATTCCCCATATTTACAAGCACATACACACAAACTTGAAAGACTTAAAAATAGCTTACTTTCTCTCTAGCAAGGCGACAACAACAACAATTTAGTTTTAGCTTTAAAAATACTCCCGCATGTAAAAATAGTGTAGGCTGGGTAACAGGAAAAAAAGAAAAGCCAGATACTACATTGTTTCCACCGCGGTTCGGCCAGCGCCAGGGCCCTTCCCCGGGAGGCGCGCCCACCGGGCGGAGGCGGCGCCGGAGGACCGCGCTGCACGGGCGTCGGAGCTTCTGTCCACCCGGCGCGGGGCCGCCAAGTTGTGCAGGTGAAGCTGCCACATGTCCACGGGCCTTGTCCCCAGGGATCCACTCGGATGAACTGTCGTCGTGATGTCGACAACCACACGACCATCAGAACAACGGAGAAAATCCAGAGAAGGGGCACTATAGGAAATCCTACTGTGCAGATGGTTTATTTTGAGAGAGTAAAATAAAATCTTAATTTCCAAGGAAAGGCTGTATCAATTAGAAGTTACAGATAGGAAAAACTACGAAATTAATTTCAGAGTTTTAAATTTTAATACAGTATCATGAGGAAGTGACTAAGAATTTATGAGAGAACTATGAAATATTCACCAGCCACAAAGTCCCAGGTTCCCTCAGCGCAAACCGTATACAGAAGTACACAGTTGGGTAGTCAAACATTTTAAACTGCTGAAATCGAATTATGAATTTAGGACTATCTGGAGAATAAACAATTTGTCCAACTAAAAGCAAAATTATACTGAATTTTCCAATAAAACAAATTTGAAAAAAGTGTTAACATGGAGTGGAGAAAAAACACTATTTGTCATTGTACAAATATCAAGACACAATGATAAGCGATATGCGACAGCTAATACAATGCCTTAACTCCTTCCCCAACATGAAAAAGAATACTTAATTACATTACAAATACGCAGCTATTCGGTTTTCAATTTAAATCAGTGGGGGCGGGGGAAGGAAGCCCTTTATTGGTGCTGCTGTTTTCCTCTGAGGACTGAAAAAAGCATTTATTCAGTCTGAGTTTCGGAAGCAACTTTGTATCACAACCTTAATGATCGATGTATATAAATTTTAATTTAAAATAACCTCTTGGAATGCAAAGCCGCTATTTTTGGGTTTCGTGCACTTGGCAAGCCGTTTCAATTCCCGGTACAACAAATCAGAAAGAGGCGCCAGCGCAGGTCCGCTGCGGTCCCGGGAAGCGCCGGGCGCAGCCGAGCCGCCGGCCGGGCCGGGCGCCCGCAGTGGTGCCGCAGCCTCGGCGGCCGCAGCAGGTGGGAGCCGGCCGGGCGGGCAGGCCGCCTCCCGGGGCTCCCATTGTTCGCGTGCAACGACTCTGTTACCCAACGGTGCAAGGACCAGCCTCCGCCCCGCTGGCGCGAACCCCACAACTTTGCAGAGCGACGAGCGGGATGCTAAGCGACAGCGCGCGGGCGCAGCTCGGGGGGCCGCGGGGCCGCCGCCCGACCGTCCCCGGCGCCCGGCAGCCGGCGGAGCCGCAGGCCGGCAGCGCGCGGGCCAGGGCGCGGGCTCCGCGCAGACAAAGGCGCCGGGCAGCGCGCCGCGCCTCGGCCCGCAGGGGGCGCCGTCCGCGGCCCCGCGCGCTTACCTTTGAGGGCCGCGCAGAGCTGCTCCAGGGCCATGTTCCCGGGCGGCCCGGCGCTCGCCGGGGGCCTCAGCTCCGCTCCGCTCCGTGCCCGCCGCCCGCCGCAGGCCGCCTCCGCGCGCGGGGCTCCGGGGCCGCGGCGCCCACGCCCGCCACCGACGGGCGCCGCCTGCCCACCAGGCCGGCCGAGCAGCGCGGGCCGCGGGACCCCGAAGCGGCGGGCGCGGGCGCCCGGCCCATTTAAGCGGCGAGCGCCGCGCCCGGCCCGCCCCGCCCGGCGCCGCCTCCCGCCAATCGCCGGCGAGCTCCCCGCCCCGCGCCCCGGTGGGCGGTGCCTGGCCGCGGCCGGGGGCGGGGCGGGCCGGGGGCGCGGGGCGCGGGGCCGAGCCCGCGAGGCCTGCCCCGAGGGAGGGGCCGGGCCGGGGCTCCCCGCGCGCTCTCGCGGACTGACGGGGCGGCCGCCCCTCGGCCTGCCGGGCCCTCGGCGCCGGTCACTGCGCCGCCCCGCGCGCCCCGCGCCCCCTCGCCCGGCGGCCGGGAGCCCCTGCTTCAGCGCGGCCGGGGCTGCGCGCACGGCACCGACCCGTGACCATCTGCTCGTTTTCACCGCAGACGCGCCGCGTGCGGTGGGTGCTGCGGGAGAAGGGGAAACACCGAGGCCAGAAAGCTTGAGTGATTTGCCCGGAGCCACACAGCGAGTGCGGGAGGCAGCGTTGTGAACCCACGAATCTGCCTGCAGAGACTGCCCTCTTCACCACTAAGCCTGCTGATGTGGTCGCTAGACTCGGCGGATAAAAATCTCCAAATCGCAAACCACTGCGTCCTATGTGGATTAATGATCTTGTTACATTTTCTCCATGGTGATTATCACGCCCTGTAATCGCCTTGCTCATCCACGTGTTTGTGCATCATCTGTATCCCGCCTCCCCCCCCCCCCCCCCACACACAGAAGCTGCCTGAGGGCACGAGGCTGCATTGACAGAGTCACTCAACACATGCTCACTCAGTGTCAGCTGTGTGCAGAAACGGTGATAGGTGCTGGGAGCATCCGTGACAAAGCCCTACCGTAACAGAACATATATGCGGTGCTTGATCCGTCCTAGGAACCCCATAAATATTCGTCTAACAACTTGAGCTAAGGACGTCAGGCAACTAAAACAAATCTTCCAGGATGTGAAGCTCTCCTCCCTTTTCTTATATCCCTTCAAGAAAGGCACAAAGGCAAGTATTCACACGGTTTACAAGTGAAAACGTGTTTAACACCAATTAATATCAGCGTATTTCACCCTTTACCATGTACGATGGGAGGTATAAAAGAGGTGTGTCTTTGGGTTCCTAAGGACAAATCACCTATTTAAATCGAGATTGCACAAAAGAAGCAACTAGGAAATAAAACATTCAAAGCATTTCCACAAATATAATAAAGGGACATGCTGGGAGGCTGGGACAGTAATAACAAGAATACTAAATTAAGTCACAATGGTGCACAAAAAGGGCTGCGAGGAAGGAGCCCGCTCAGCTTCCGGAACGTAATAGGTTCCTAGTGCGTGGTCGACTTGAAGAATCGAAGCGGTGTGTGTGATGTCATCAGAGAGAGCTTCCTGAAGGAGGTGACACAAAGAATGGAAAGGCTGTGGACGGCGGGTGGAGAGGAGCAAGGGCGGGCGAACTTTCACGCCAGGCAAGGAGCCGGGACGGGCATCGCACTTGGGGCAAATGCTGTCTTTGGTGGGAGGTAGAGACAACCCTGAGTATGGGGGCTTTGACCGTGGAGACCCTCGCTTGAACGCTAGGCAGAGGCGTTTGTGCGCAATTCAGGAGGCCGGAGGCATAGTTTTAACAGTGGAGTTCTGGGAAGATTAATCTGGCAGTTGAGTTGAGGCTATAATAAAAGAGGAGAGATTAGAGCAACCGCAGGGATTCAGAAAGTGTATATGGGGGCGGCCCTGGGCCGAGTGGTCGGGTTCCCGCGCTCCGCTTCGGGGCCCAGGGTTTCGCAGGGTCGGATCCTGGTGTGGACATGGCACCGCTCACCAGGCGGCGTCGCACATGCCACAACCAGAAAGCCCCACAACTGAAAATATGCAACTATGTACCGGGGGGCTTTGGGGAGAAAAAGAAAAAAAAAAATAGTATATATGCAGCACTTTTTCAGTTAGCCTGGTAGCTTTTATTGGCAGTGCCGTTTTGATGAAACCTAGAAAGTCTTTTCTCCTCTAGTGTGTTGGCTGGGGAGCAGCTTCCCAAGGAGCAGACTGGGGATGTTCATTTTGTGGCTCCCTTGTAAGACACCTATCTTTTGGATGTACTGGTGTAATTGTCTGGAGCAGATTTTTCAAGGAATGTGGTAAAGCACAGATCATAGCTGAGACTACTGTGTGGCCATATGTTAACTAAACCGAAAGGGAAGCAGTTTGCAAAGCTCTCAGCTGGGGAGCTCTGTGTTTGAATGATTCTTCCCCCAGCAGAGCCCCCAGTAACTCCCGGTCTGTCCCCAGGTTACCTGGCGGTTCCCAGGTGACGAGGACCCCGCTTCTGTTGCTTCCCGCCTGATCTTCCGGACGTGATGGTGTCTCTGCCTCCTCACAGAATCCTTCCTGTAGTTGAAATCTGGTTTTCTCTGAGTCCTCTGCAGCGCTTGAATGGTGTGTGGCATTGACTTACTGTTAGAATGAATCATTTAAAATGCATTTTATCCCGGTGTTTATGTACCAAACAGATTTTGTTGTCTGTCTTTTTTGCTAGAGTTTGAGAGCTCTAACATCTTATTAAACGATAGCCTAGGAAGGCAGGCTGTTATGTTGAGATTGTTATGGACTGAATGCTGTGTTCCCTCGGAATTTGTATGTTGAATTCCTAAGCCCCAGTGTGACTGCATTTGGAGGTGGAGCCTCGAGGGTAAATGCAGCCTTAAGGGTGGGGCCCTAATCTGATAGGATTAGTGTCCTTGTAAGGAGAGAGGCCCGGGAGGGAGCTTGGAGCAAACGCGTGTGAGGAAGCGGTGAGAAGGCGTGGTTCGCAAACCGGAAGAGAGCGCTCACCAGGGGCGGAGTCGGCTGGAGCCGTGATCCGGACCTTCATCCTCCAGGACCCGGAGAGAGTAAATGTTGCTGGATGCGCCCAGTCTATGGTGTTTGTTGTGGCATCCCGAACAGACTCATACGGAGAGATGAGGCAGGAAGACAGAGGAAGTCACACACAGCCAAACTGGTGTACAGTAAAATAGGGATCTCACACTGCTTTTTCTGTACTGTGTGCAGATATGGCTACAATGATGGTGAAATTGAGTGAAAAAATCATATAGGATCTCAGTGTATGAAGGTTTCACTGTTACTATACAACTGTAAGGGATTTTTTTTCTTCTTTTTTTTTCCCCCTAAATATTCTTCTCTCCAAAGCCCCCACCCAGTACATAGCTGCATATTTTAGTTGTGGGTCCTTCTAGTTGTGCTGTGTGGGACGCTGCCGTAGCATGGCCTGATGAGCGGTGCCATGTCGGCGCCCAGGATCTGAACCAGCGAACCCGGGGGTGGAGGAAGCAGAGCGCGCAGAACTTAACCGCTGGGCCACGGGAAAGGAAAAAGAGGAAAATTTTTAATTTTTTAACTCATTGTACTAGCCTGCTTGGGTTGCCATAACAAGGTACCACAAATGAGATGGCTTAAACAGTAGAATTTATTTCTCGCGGTTCTGGAGGCTGGAGGTCCAAGGTCAGGATGCTGACAGGGTTGGTTTCTCGTGGGGTCTCTCTTCCTGGCGTGCAGACTGCAGCCTTCTTGCTGTGTCTGCAGGTGGCCCTTCCTCTGTGTGTGCAAACAGCTCATGTCTCTTCTTCTTATAAGGACACCAATCAGATTGCATTAAGTTCCCACCCTTATCATCTCATTTAACCTTAATTACATCCTTAAAGGTTCTATCCCCAAATACAGTCACACTGGGGGTTAGAGCGTCAACATATGACTTTGAGGGGACACAATTCAGTCCATACACCCATGAACCAAAATTATTCCTGTTAATGATATTGAAGAAGAACTGCCTCCAGGGAGTCAAAACCAGTTCTTTCAGTAACCCTGTCACCTAGACTTGTGTCCAAATTTGTGCTTAGTCTAATTCCAAAGCAAAAAGATATTTAAGAAAGATTGCCTACTACCAGTACTAAAGTATTTCAACTTTATCAAGAAAATTTCTGGCATCCAGTTACTTTCATTTGATTGTGAAAAACTTACAAAAGTCCTGATTATATTTCTCAGAATAATATTGCTAACATATAACAGTATGTTGGGCTTTTCTTAAAAGCCTGTTAGGCCGCAAGCCCAGCTGGGCTAGGGCAGGGGGATATCACGCCGAGAGACCGAAGAAACAACCGGAGACTGCGAGCGAGGCGTATGGGTTTATTGGGCCCTACATACTGGAGCGAGTGCAGCGGCCACCGGCTGGATGGAAGAACGCGTCCGCCCGGAACCGGCGGAGAGAAGCTTGCGTAAGTAGGCAGAGGAACCAAGCTGCACACTGGCCAAAGGGCTGTCCTTGGTACGACCAGCGTTCCCAGAACAGTAGCTCACATGGAGGGCCCTGCGTCCCTGTAAGGCGTGCTGTTATTCTTGTGGGGTTAGGGAGGGTCCGGGCTGGCCGGGCCCAGATTGTCAGAAATCCCCGCAGCTGGGCGGCCTGCCCAGAAGGGGCCAGAAGGACACATGGTTGCAACGGGCCCGGGGGTTTCTGCTGAGCAAGCAAGGCCCAGGCCCTACAAAGCCCCAATCCCATTTTGAAAGCAGATGTTTCCTTTATGCTTAAACCTCTTTACTACAAGCTGAAATGAATGCTTGTTTATTGGTACAATATGAAACCATAAGATTAAAGTGTAAAATTCTTGACTTGGTTATTTGGTAATGTTTACTAGATAATAGAACTTTCTTATATGTTCAACTTAAGAGCTAGACGGACTGTGAATATCTGTGCTGCTTGATATACCTATGCTATTATTACCAGTGTCAGTAGAATGCATATTTTCAACTACATGTCCATGTTAAATTCTCATATTTGTAAGGAACGTGTGTCTAAATTATTGCGATTATTAGCACCAAATCTCAAACTTTTTTTTGCATTATAAAATATATAATCTAAGATTTGTGATGCAAACATATTTCTAGATATGTGATCTACAAAGAGATCTTTGGGAAACTTTGATAGGATCTTTAAAAAATTGTGAAATATAATACATATTTGAAAAAGTGCCTAAAATAAATATGAATGTACAGTTTGTTTATAATGCTGAGTGCCATGTAAATACCACCCAGATCAAGAAATAAGACTTCATCTACACCTGGAAGCCGCCACGTGCTTGTGCCTGGTCATAATTTTTTCTCAGTTCCCTAGAGTTCATCATTATTCTGACTTTCATCATTTCCTCCCTTTTCTTTATAGTTTTCCACCTCTAAATGCATCTTTAAACAATATAGTTTTTCCTATTTTTGAACTTTAAATGAATAGAATCATGGTGTGTGTATTCGCTTGTATCTTGCTTTCTGCTTACTTTTGGAAAATTAATCTGTGTTGTTATGTATAGCTCTCCTTCATTAAATGTCATGGCTGTGTAGTATTTCATTGTCTAAAAATCCATGTAGATGGACGTTTAGGCATTTGTAGCTTTTGGCCATTAGGAACATTGCTGCTATATTTATACCTAGATCCTGGTATACATGTGCAAGAATTTCTATTAAGAGTAGAATTGCTGTGTGGAATGAAAATATCCGTATCTTCAACTGCAATAAATAAAAGTAAAAGCAACCACTGCTTATAAAGCAATTATACCCCTTTTTATGAAGTCCCGCCCAGAATGTGAGACTTCCCTTGCTCCACATCTACGCCAACATTGGTTATTGTCAGCTGTTAACACCGTGTGTGAAGCTAGCGGGTGTGTGGTGAGGTTTTAATTTGCACTTTCCTTACTAATTAGTTTGAACACCTTGTTATATGTTTATTGGCTACTTGAATTTCCTCTTTTTGTGGATGACCTATTCAAAACTTTTGCCCATTTTTTTACCAGTCTGTCTTCTTAAATCATTTTGTAGAATTTCTCTATTTTGGGTACTACTCGGTTATACGTATGGAAAATATTTTCTTTCATTTTATGGTTTGTCTCTTCACCCTTTTAAGAGTGTCTGTGATGAACAGAAGTTATTAATTTTAATGTACTCCAATACATCAAAAGTTTCCTTTAGGGATTAGTGTACCTGTGACTTGATCATGAAGTTATTTATGTATATTAAATACTAAAAGCTTATACATTTGCATTTCACATCCACCTGTCTTTTCCCTAATACTACACTAATCATTGTAACTTTATATCGTTTTGATATCTGACAGAGCAAGTTCTTGTTCTTTTTCAAGCTCGTCTTGGCTATTCTTGGTCCTTTGTATTTCCATATATGTTTTAGAAACAGCTTATCAAGTTCAGCAACAATAACAACAAAAACCCATTGCATATTGAGTGGAGTTGGGGAAGATTTGACATCTTTACAATATTTAGTCCTTCTATCTATGAACATGGTATACATATGCATTTATTGAAGATTTCTTTAATGTTTCTCAGGCAAGTTTTATAATTTACCCCACAGAGATGTGGTGTATCTTGTGTTATATTGATTCCTAGGTACTTGACTTTATTTGATGCTGTTATAGTGTTAATCTAAGTCCATTTTGTAACTGATTTGCTTATACGTAAAAATGAAATTGATTTTAGAAACTACCAAACTGTTCTCCAATGTGGCTTCACCATTTTGTATACCCACTAGGAATATATGAGAATCCCAATTGTTCTTCATCCTTGTTAGCACTTGGAATTGTCAGTATTTTTTGTTTTAGCTTTTACAATATGTATGTAATAGGTGTGGTAGTGGTATCTTTTCATGACTTTAGTATTCATTTCCCTAATGGTTAATGATGTTGAATATCTTTTCATGTGCTTAGTTGCCATTTGTATGTCTTCTGTGGTGAAATGCCCAAGTTCTTGCCCACTTTTAAATTGCGTTATTTGTTTATGTATTGTTGAGTTTTAAGAGTTCTTTATACATTCTGGATACAAGTCCATTGTTGGATATGTGATTTGCAAATATTTTCTTTGCATATGTAGCTTGCTTTCATTCTCTTGAAAGTGCTTTTGGCAAAGAAAATGTGTTTAATTTAGATGAAGTCAAATTTATCAATATTTTCTTATGGATCATACTTTTGGTGTCATTTCTAAGAACTCTGCCCAGTTCGTGAAGATGTTCTCTTGTGTTTTCTTCTAAAAGTTTTATAATTCTACATTTTACATTTAAGTTTATGATCCACTCTGAGTTAATTATTGTATAAGGTACGAGGTTTAGGTCAAGGTTCTTTTTTTTCTTTGCATATGGATGACCGCTTGTTCTAACACTGTTTGTTGAAAAGACCGTCTTCCACTGAATCACTTTTACACCTTTGTCAAAAATCAAATAGCTATATTTTTGTGGGTTTTTTCCTGGACTCTATTTTGTTCCATTGATCTATTTGTTTATCTTTTTGCCAACATCACACTATCTTGATTACTATAGCATTACAATAAGTCTTAAAATCAGGTAGTTTGATTCCTCCAACTTTGCCTTCTTTTTCAAAATTAAGCTCTAGTTTCTTTACTCTTTCATATACATAATCTTGTTTATGTCCACAAAAAATACTGTTGGGATTTTGGTCGGAACAGTATTAAATCTATAGATCACTTTGGGGAGTTTTACATCTTTACTAGGTTGCATTTTCCAATCCATGAACACAGTGTCTTTCCATCTAAGTCTTCCTTGAGTTCTGTTGTTAGCATTTTTAGTTTTCAGCATACAGATCCTATGCATGCTTTGTTATATTTCTACATAAGAATTTCATTTTTTGGATCAGGCCATGCTGAGGCGGGGTCCCACATAGCACAACCAGAAGGACCTGCAACTGGAATGTACAGTGATGTACTGTGTGGCTTTGGGAAGAAGAAGAAAAAAAAAAGGTTGCCAGTACTATGTTGAAAAGTATCAGTGGGAGAGGACATCATTGCTTTGTGCCTAATTTCAGGGGGAAACCATTCAGTCTCTCACCACTAAGTATGTTGTGATAGCTGTAGATTTTTTGTAAATGCCCTTTATTAGGTTAAGGGAGTTCTATTCATAGTTTGCTTAGATTTTTTTAAAAAATCAGGAATGATGTTAGATCTTGTCAAATTATCTTTCTGTGTCTATTGAGAGGATAAGATGGTTTTTCTGATTTATTAATATGGTGAATTATATTACTTTTTTTCCTACAGATAGTGAACTAGTCTTGCATTCTGGGATGACACCCACTTGATCATGATATCTTTTTATATTTTTCCAGATACAATTTGCTAATGTTTTATTGAGGATTTTTGCATCCATGTTATAAGGGATATTGGCCTGTTGTTTTATTTTCTTGTAACCTCCTTGTCTGGTTTTGGTATTAGGGAAATACCTTATAAAAGGAGTTGTGAGGTGTTCCTTCCTCTTCTTTTTCTTCAACAGACGGTGTAGATATTAGTATGTATTATTTCTTCCTTAAGTGTTAGTAAAATCTGTCAGTGAAATCATCTGTTCCATTGAGTTTTCTTTTGTGGAAGGTTTATTTTTTAAGATAAAAGTTGATAAGGTTTATCGATTTCTTCTTGGGTGAGTTCTGGTAGTTTGTATCTTTTAAGGAATTGATCCATTTAATCTAACTTACTGAACTCATGGGCATAGATTTGTTCATAGCGTTCCCTTCTTGTCCCTTTAATGTCTGTGGGATCAGTAATGATGTCTTCTCTTTCATTCATTATATTGGTTATTTATGTCTATTCTTTTTATTTCCTGGTCAGCTTAGTTAGAGGTCTATCCATATTATCTATCAATCTTTTCGAAGAGCCACCTTTTTATTTCATTGATTTCTGCTCTAATCATTTCCTTCTGTATTTTGTTTGCTTTAGGTTTGCTGTGATCTTTTTTCTAGTTGACTAAGGTCAGAGTTTAGGTTCCTGATTTTAGATCTTTCTTGTTTGTTAGTATATGCATTCAACGCTATAAATTTCCACGAAGAACTGCTCTCTGTCTCCTACAAATTTTATGTTGCATTTTAACTTTTATTTGGTTAAAAATATTTTAAAATTTCCTTTGAGAGTTCCTCATTGACCCCAAGGTTATTTAAAAGTACATTAATTTCCAAATATTTGGATACTTTCCAGGTATCTTTCTAGTTTAGTTCTATTTTAGTCTGAAAATCTTTGTATCATTTTTACTCTCTTACATTTGGTCAGGTTTGCTTTATGGCCCAGAATACTGTCTGTCTTGGTGAATGTTCCATGTACACTTAATGAGACCTGTATTTCACTGTTGTTGGTTGGAGCATTTTATACATACCCATTAGGTTAGGTTGATTGACTGTGCTTTTCATTGCTAAGCCTTCTGATTTTCTGCCTACTTTTTCTGTCAGTCACTGTAGAAGAGTATTGCCACTTCCAACCTAAATTGTGGGTGTGTCTATTTCTCCTTACAGGTCTGTTTTTGCTTTATGTAGTTTATACGCATTTAGGATTTTTATGTCAAGAAGAGCAGAGTGATCTTGGGTGAGTCTGCTCTGTTCAGTTGAGACAATCTCCAAAGGGGGATGACAGCTGATTACTGAAGGCACTCCCAGAAATTAGGAGAAATCCTTTATTCCTGAAGGAGGATCTGGACACTGCATCACAGCATCTACCAGAGGAGTAATCAGGTTTTCTATTTGAGTGTTTTAATGATGTTTTCATAGGAATTGGTCTATTTTGTTAAACTTTCAAATTCATTGGTATTAAAATTAACGTCTTCCAGTTTTTGTTTTATATATACATTATCTGTAGTTCTCTCTCCTTTTTCGTTTCTGGTATTGGTTATTTGTGCTTGTTTTCTTTTTCTTGATAGAGGCTCTTGGGGCAGCTGGCAGCCATTTAAGTGATTAACTTGGGGGTACACAGGCCTAGTCTTCTTACCCTAACTTGAGACAGGTTAGGAGATAGGAGAGGTCATTCTATCTCAAAATTCAACATAGGGTTGTATGAGGCATTCCACTGAGAATGGATCACAACTCAATTTCTCTCCCTGCCCAATATTCCTTCCTTCCCTTCTTCTATGCTGGTGTTGATCAACAGCACTCCGTAATCTATTATCTGTTTTATTAGTCTTTAAAGATAAACACTAATAAAGACTCCATCGCCTGGCCAGGGGACATAAAGCCAGGCTGCAAGTCATCACAAAGGCTGCTTAACTTTCAGGTCACCTTCACCCTGAGGAGTTAGCCCTTAAGTATCCTAGCTTAATACTTGGTGTACCATCAGGGTCTGCCGGACACAATTCAAGTTTTTGAGTTTCTTTTTTGAGTAGTTCTAGCTATTTGTAAGGATTAATATGTCCTGACTTTTATTATTTCTTAGAGGTCTTCTAAAGAACAAAAGGAAAATTATTTTTTAAAATATGGAATAAAACTCATTCTCTCTTGCAATTACCATATGTATCCACTGGACCCTTGTATAAATCTAAGATTTATTATGTAATCTTATCGATCTTATTTTTCCTATATTTTGAAACATTTTGCTGTAGCATTTCTCTCCATGAAAACGCTATGAAGCCAAGATCCTTTTCCTTTTAGTAACCACAGCCCGAGTAGAGATGCTCTTCACAGACTTGTAAAGATGCTCAATAATCTGAGGGTGCATCTCTAGGTATCTCTACCCATAATAGGGCCCTATCTTTCCTTACTAAGAGTGGGAATGGTAAGGAAAGTATGTTTAAAAGTTGTAACCTTTAATTTTGAGGCCTTCTAGGAGTGAGAAACTATTTTGGGAATTAAGTTTCGGAAAATACATAAAGATTTTTGGGTGGTAGATGGAGAAATATAAAAGGCTAGTCCAAATAAATGGTGTCTTACCAACAATGTATTTATAGTATTTACAAATACCATAATTTTTATCTTCAAAGTTAAGTCTTAATTAGTCCTCCTTGTTCCCCAAAGAAGGAGGATTATAGAAGTATAGATCAGTGGAAGAGAGTCAGAAAATGTTAAGTTACTGTTGTCACTGCAGTGGGAAATGGGAGGGAAGAAAAGAACCAGCACTTAATCAAGCACCTTCTGTGTACACGTAGCTATTTAAGACTCAAAACATCCTTAAAGGAAGGTATCACTCACGGTACTTCTTTTACAGATGAAGAAACCAAAGCTCAAAGAAGGAAAGTGACTAAAAGTAACAAAATGGGAGGGTTAGGCTTTGAATCCAGATTTGTCTGATGTCAAAGTCTTGTGCTTTTTCCACTAAAATATTCAAAATTAATATAAAGGTCTTTCTATTTCATTCTCAATGTTGTGACATATTTTTCACCTGTTGCCCCTTAATAAATGACATCAATGTTGCATTTGGAGGTAGTATCAAGATGCAGAAACATAGTATAATACCACTAATTGTATTTTCAATTGTCATTAACGTTTTATTTGCCTATAGCACTACTCCTCGAAGACCCTGACTCCAAGTGAGTTTTAAAACTCATGCTATTGTCAGCTGAGAGACACTAACCCTAACTATCTTTAGGAACAGTGTGGAACAGGGCCCGGCACAGTGCGCGGGTGGATAACTGTGTAGTGAGTCTAAGCGCGGTGGTCAGGAATCTTGCCCTGCTCACAAGGAGGCAACGGCAAGTCACTTTACTTGTCTCACAGTCCAGAGAAGTGACTTAGACCTTGGATTCTCTAAGGCCTCTTCATGCTCCAAAATAACGATTTACAGACTCACCGGAATACCTGGTTCCAATACAGAGTATTTATTCAGAAGACATATTAACATGCTCAGATACACAGAGTAAACCACTTATACACGCCATTCTCAGCGAACTGTAAAGAAAAACTAACATGAACAACAAGATTAAATGTTCTCTGAGAAGTTTTTGTAGTTTATAGCTATCACATGCCATTTGCATATTAGAAAATTATTAACACTGATATATAAGCTGTTTTCCAGATCTTAGATGAAGTCTTAAAGTAACTTTTTGGTGAGGTGAAGTTCACAAAAATTTGCATTGAAGTCTGAATGTAAATCAGAGACTCCTGCAAGCTCTGAAGAATGCAAGTGTGATTGAGGATTTGTATTCCCAGTGCTATCCAAAGCAGTTTCCTCTCCAGAAATCAAATGTTCTTCATCACCACATGGTAAGCATCAGTGCTCAAATGAAAATTTTAGGGCACATTAATTCTTAGAGGGCACTATAATTTTTAGTTATGAACAAGTAATAAATCTTTATATAAGATGTCAACCACCGAGAATTTAGGCTTTCCAAAGAACATTATTTCCTTACGCCTGAAAATAAAATTCTATCGAGTCTATATATTTTGACAATTAGTTCTAGAAGTCTGTACAAAAATTATCTAAAATAGTAATAGATGACAGCTACCACTTATTGAGCACTTATTTTGTGCTAGACACCAAGCTAAGCACTTTACATACATCATCCCATTTAATGTTTGCAATAACTCGAGTAGTAGTGTTAACTCTATTTATAAACAAGAAAATGGAGGCATACAGAGGTTAAGCACTTAGCTAAGTTCAAACAGCTTTTAAGTGGTGGAACCAGGAGTGTAAGGCGAGTCTGCCTGACTGCCATCCCAAAGCCAGCGCACCCAATCACTACGTCGTGTGCCCCCCGCGAGCGCCCCCGACCTGCGACGGCCAAGAGGAAATCAGTAGCTCTGTGGTACATTCACAGAATTATAATTGGCATCGTTAGAATAAGAAGCAAGACCAATTCCAGCGGAACACAAGAGACCCTGCTCATTTAAATATTTTTATTCACACGTCTTTCCCCAACATCATTATTCTAATAAGATTATAAATACATGAACACCTGAGAACATGCAACACATTCCACAAAGGAACACAAATGCACAGCACAAGTGAATAAAGAACCCAAGTTATTATATACAAAGTGCTTTACAAAAAGACCTTGTGACATATTCAGACCATATTTATTTGAATACTTTCCAATAATTACCAAGAGATGCATCATTTATAAATAATATTCAAAATCTCCTACTTTCTTCTATAATCCAAATTAGTATTTCAGTTAATCAAGCAAATAGCTGTTCTGTTGCCTTTATATGATAGTTAAGGCAAGTCACATGGCATCAAAATGAAACCGATGGGCTTCTTGTCGTTTTTCTCTATCATCTGCTTTCTGAAAAAGAATTTGAGACTAGTTTATAAATGATAGGAAAATGTCAAGAAAAGACTCATTTCTGAAATATAAAGTGGCTAATTAAAAAAAAGCCCTCAGCAATTAATAGATTAAAGGTGTGATTTTATTATGCAATAATCTTATGAAATATTTTTGTAGTTTACAGTAGCTATTTTATAACTAATGATCCACTAAATTGAATTTAAAAACCAACAAGAAATGTTCCTTAAATACTTAGTTTGTTGTCATTTATTATTTATGTGAAAGTAGGAGTAAACATTAGACTCTGTAAGGATGGAATCAACAATACATTTTCCCCATTAGTTAATAAACAAGTCTAAGTGAATTATATTAAAGTACATTAATTATTTTTGGTTAAGCTATTGATTTAGCAGATATTTATTGACCCTCTGCTACCAGCAAAGTACTGCACTTGGTATTTTGAGGGACTTAGAAAAACCTGTTTTGTATCTTGTTCTCAAGGAACTTAAACCCTAGAAAGGACAAAGCAGAACATACTGAATAACTGTGTTTTGGGATAAAAAAGTGAAGAATGTTACCAATATTCTGAGAGAAAGATTATTTCTAGGTTGGGGTGAGGAAAGGGAAAGCTTTGAAAAGATAGTATTTATGGAAATGGAGACAGAGGCATTCATTCCAAGCTGGGGTAGAACAGGAGCAATCACGGGGAGTCCGGCAGGAGCGCGGCACATGTGAAAGCAACTGGGAAGAAACAAGGTGGGAAAGGTGCATGGTGGAGTCCCATGGGAGTCCAGGAAGGCGAGGCCAAGCAGCTTACACTAATTAGGAGTGGTAGTCATGAAAGGTTTCTGAGCAGAGGAGTGACAGGATTAAGTCTAATCTTATTGATGAGTAATCTGGCAGCACTGTGCTAAATGGAAGGGAGAGAAGAGAGAACGGAATCAGCGAGACCAGGTAGGACACAAGGAGCTGAGCTTCAAGCACTGGCAGTAGGAAGAAGAAGTGGAGGCAGCTGCAGAGATTCGTAGGGAGCAGAATCAATATGGCAACTGATTGAATCTTGTAGGAAAGGAAGAAAGAAGAGAGAGGGAGCTTTAGAATAGTCATGCACCACATAATGACGTTTCGGTCAACGATGGACTGCATGTACGATGATGGTCCCATAAGGTGAGTCTGTAAAGCCTGGGTATGAAGTAGGCTGTACTATCTAGGTTTGCGTACATACACGCTATGATGTTCACACGACGATGAAATCGCCTAACAACGTATTCCTCAGAACATATCCTTGTCGCTAAGTGACACAGCACTGTACGGGTTTTAAGGTGCTTGTCCGTGATCCAGGTAGAGCCGTTTGGCGACAGTTGGAAATGGGGGAAGAGACTTTTAGAGAGAGATGGGGGCTGGGGATATTTGAGGTAATCCCTGAAGCCATGATTTTAGATAAAATCGGCAGAGAAAGTGCAGAAAGAAGAGGGCCTAGGGCAGACCCTGTGGATGGGGAATGGCAGAAAGGAGCAGACAGCGCAGGTGAAAGAGAAGCGGTCAGAGAGACAGAAACTCAGCACCACAGGGGAGGCAGTTTACACGGTCCAATCCATATTTGTAATGAAAACTTTAATCTTTAGCCACTGCATCATTATTGTTGTTATGTTTATACTGTAATCAGATCCCCTGAGAAGTTGATGAATTAGTTTCCTTTCCTTCCTAGGTCTAGAGCTATGTAATGTTCCAGACTACGTCCTGACACTTCTCTACAAAGTCTGTAGGGTCTGAGCTTATCTCTTAAGTTGCCATCTTAAAAGTAAGTGAATATGTAACTTTATGTCCTCATTTTGATATGTAAAGGAGCAATTTTTTTGGAGAGACAAACCTATGAACATTTATCAGAACAATTAACATGTTCTCTTTTTCATGAGTTACGACAGCTAAGATAAAACAGACAGTAATTTTAGTTAACAAAAAATGATGATGATTGGCATGACAATCCAAAGAGAGTAGGTACAAAAAAAGAAAACCTTTGGGACACAAAGAAGTCTTTTTTAGGGAACCTTGTTGGAACCTACTAGTTATGTACTTAATATATGTTCATATACAAATAGAAATTAGCTTTTTCAATTTATATCTAAACTGCTGATAAATTTATGTAGTAGCTTCTTTTTCTCATAAACATTGTATAAAAAATCTACATTTTTGGAATTTTGTCTTTAATTATCATTTAGGGTGTTACACTAAAGAACAGAAATCAGTTTAGTTTAGTGCAAGAATACTCGATAGACGGAAAAGACGTTTTTTACTTTAGTTATTACTTCCAACCTAAACCTTGAGAAAATCATTTAACCTCTCTGTGCTCTAATTCTTTATAAAGAGATAGGTGCTATTCCTGGAAAAAAGTGTCCATGGCTCTATGAGTGACATGAACAGAGGCTCATTTAAAAAAATGATTATTTTCCAAGCTATTATGAAATTGTTTCTAATTAAGTTTTTCTATATACCTGGTGATTTTTGGGGGATCACTTTATTACTAATGAACAACATGAGAGTTTTAAAATAGTCTTCTCTTATGATTTGTATGAATTGCTGAGACTTTAGTAACTTAAAAGGGTAAAAGAAATTATCATCTATAAGATGACACTATGGACAGAACTTGAAAAATCAGAAACTCTTGGTCATGTGAGAAAGTTTAAAATAAAGTTTTTAAAGAGCAATCTATTACTATTATAAATTAACCAAAGCTAATGTTCCATTTAAATGAACAAACCTTTTCCTGCCAATGTAGAATGCCAATTATTGCCAAGATGAAAACACAGACACCGATGAGAGCTATAGCAGTAAGTAGAACAATGTTACTTGGTGTAAGATACAGTTTGGCACTCCAGCTGTAGATGAAAACAGAAGAGCTGAAATTACACATTTTAACTTATAAATAACAAAATTTTACTGAGATCAAAAAGCAAAACAGCTTACTAAAGAATCAATCAATTCATTCATTAATTCATTCGCCCATCTATTCATTATAAATAAAAAGGCAATTAAACTTAGATAGGGCTAAAAATATTGATGCTCCTGCAGAGTTCACATTTTACCCAGAGAACTGAAATAGAATTTTTGATGAGATGCTTCAATATTTTTCATTGATCCTGTGTGAGGATTATTCTTAAGTAAACCTATCAAGGGTACTTTGGGTAATCTTAGACATTGTTTTTACATCTTGATTGACTTGCTGAGTTTGAAACCTTGAACTCTAAGGCTATGTAATCACAAGATTTTGGTAAGGTTTCTATAATTGGCTTATTTTTTACCCCTGTTCACATATGTATTTTGACCAATGAAAACGACCATATGTCCAAGTGGGTGTAGACAGATGGTTTGTGCAAAACTTCTACCATTTCTTTGTCATGTTGTAGGGTTTACATACTACAGTGATGATGTAACTTCTTACAAAATCACTTTTAGTCCCTCAGTGTTAATGGCAACATACAGACTTTAGCATAAGTAGGACTAGCTCTTTTTCTCAAACAGTCCACATGATATAGCTCCTACAAACCCTGACAAGCCTAAAACTGAGGTCTGCATCCCCAACACTGCAGGTGGTCTACACAAAGAAGTTTTTGTTCTCTCTGAAAATAAATAATGGATATATTTCCATTTTAAAAGTTTAATAAAGGTAAGATCATTCTGATGACTACCAAGTAGCAATTGACTTATTTTGGGATAATAAAAATTTATTGATCCATAAATTAGCCCCTAGTCAATAGATCTCAAAATACACCTCAACCTAAAATCAATTTGGGTTTTTATTACATACGTAAATTTGAAAAGAATATTTCTTCAGAAAAAGCAAGAGAAACATGAAAAATATTAAGATTATAGAAGAAAGCTATAACAGAATTTTCAGAATTTCAAGAGTAAGAAAACAAATACTGTTAATTAAAGTTGAGGTTAGTTATTCTCAGTACCTTCATACTTAAAAAAAAGTTTTTTCATGAGTATTTTTGGTGGTTCTACTTTTTAAATTAATTAAACCCATGCATATAGGAATTTTGGTAAGAAAAAAAATTGGGCAAAAGCCCAATCCTCAGTTTCTTACTCAGAAAGCAGTCATTCTTAACAGTTTCTTGCACGTCCTTCCAGAGATATTTTATACATATGTAAACATACATACACAGATATCTTCTTTTTAAAACCATAAATGGGTGCTTACTATGCATACTCTAAATGCATTTTCCCTTTACTGTCTTTTGCTTACCACTCTATTTTAAGATATTGTCCTGGTAGGTCATGATATTACTCCACACAGAAGCATCATAATTTATATAGTTTCCTACTTATGGTACAGATTTTCTAGTTTTGTTATAAATTTCATGTATAGAAAACTAACAAACACACAATACAGACTCATTAAAACAATCTGAACTCGGACTGTAGGTGTTTCTATTGATGTTATCTTATTTCCAGCATAATGAGCATAATGCTTAAGAAAGTTGTTTCCTTAAGTAGTTTGGCTCTACAGCCCAGAAATCCACCATGAAACACATCCAGTGGTGTACTGGTAAACTGGCTCTCGGAGGGGGGGGGGGGTGTTGAGAGGGTGGGGAAGCCCTGATTGGCACTTGCCAATTTTCACAGTGTAAATACTCGCATCATAGCTGATTTTAATGTGACTCACTCAACAGAGTTGGAAAGAGATGCATACAGTTAGGTCTTGAGGTGGCTTGAGCTGGTTCTAGCAAACCACCGAATACACCCCAACTAAAAATTTAATAAAAACAATACAGTCTGTATTTTGAGAAGAAATGTAAAAAGTAGGACCCCACTGGTTACATATTCAGAGATGGATTACACTGTTTCTCTTTGGTTATTTTTTCATATTGCTATCAGACTAGCCTTAAGAACAAGTTATAGTCTTCCCAATGATTTTAAATTTTAGTGAATATCTTCATCACCTATTTTTTTTTAAAAAAGATAGAATCACTCTAGTAACTTCAAGAAAAAGAACAAAGATAAATTAAGGATTTAGAGTTAAATGCTATATTATGAAAGGAACATATTCTGCTAAAAATGATAAAAAAACCCTACCATTCACTGAAAACTTCCTACATGCTGGGCACTGTATTGCATCTTCATCCTTCTAATGTAGGTGTTTTTTCTTCCATTTTACAGACACAGAAATTGACCCTCAGAGAGGACAAAGGACTAGCTGCCAATCTCAGTTAGTCAGCAGTGGATCGGAGTTTCTAGCCTATGTCTGTTTGACTCCAAAATTTTTGCCTAACCATTGTGGGAGATATACTACTTCTCAAAGCATTTATTAAAAAGATTGATGCTTATTAAAAAATTTAGCACCCTGAAATTTTAGAATTTATAGCTAGCAAACTGAAGACCAGTTTATTTAAGCGGAATAGGAATAAATCCCTAATTAGTTAACCTCTTGTTGTTCCAATAAGGTTTAATTTATTCATGAAAAATGCCAGGGACCTTCTGTGTAGGTATGTTAAAGTTTGCTTTAAGCAAATTAAGTGATGGCACTCATGGGAAAAAGTTTGTTTTTTTTCTTTTAGGAAGCTTAGCCCTGAGCTAACATCCGCCACCAAGCCTCCTCTTTCTGCTGAGGAAGATTTGGCCCTGAGCTAACATCCTGCCCATCTTTCTCTATGTTATACATGGGATGCCTGCCATAGCATGGCTTGATAAGTGGTGTGTAGGTCCATGCCCAGGATCAGAACCGGTGAACCCTGGGCCACCGAAGTGGAGGGTGTGAACTTAACCACTATGCCACTGGGCCGGCCCAGGAATAAGAGTTTTTAAAAGATGTAACTGTGTCTATGATTCAGAGTTGACAAGATTTCTGCCAAATTCAGTTCAAGCAAGGGTATTACCTTCGAGGAACGTTGTGAGGATATGGAATGACAATTAGCTGGGAATTTGGAATGATTGCAGTCCACTCCTGTTTTCGTATAGACTAGAAAAAGAATTTAAGAACATTTTACATCAGTACGCTTTCAAAACAATCATTATTCTAAATAAAGAAAAACTTAAGTACTCTTTGATTAACTAAAATCCTATGTATGGATTAAATTAAATTTCCATATAATAAGCCCAAAATAGGACTCCTGTGCCCTCTCGGCAAAAATTTTTTGATCTTTTCAGGGAAGGAGTATATTTCTGTCTCATGGACTCATTAATTCAACAAATATTTATAGAACACTTATGCAGCAGGCACTGTGCAAAGTGCTATTTACAAATGCTGCTTGGAGCTAAAATTCAAGTTGAGGGGGGGAGTCTGATGATAAATAATTTATAGTATATTAGATGGTGAAAATGAGGAGGAAAAGCAGGAAAGAGGGATAGGAAGTGGTGAGATGTATGGGAGAGGTGTGGAAACTATATCTTCAAATTTTGATGTGCTGTATGTAAGACAGGCTTGGATAGGTCACTACCAATCATTTTTAAAAAATTCTTTAAAGGGCCTAAAAAAATTGCATTACAGTAGTCCCCCCTTATCTGTGGGAGATACTTTTCAAGACCTCCAGTGGATAAGGGGCATGGATAGTACTAAACCTGTATAAAGTATGTTTTTCCTATACATACTTACCTGTGATAAAGTTTAATTTATAAATTAGGCACAGTTAGAGATTAACAACAATAACTAATAATAAAATGAACAATTATAACAATACACTGCAATAAAAGTTATGTGAATGTGGCCTCTCGCTAAATAACTTATTGACCTGTACTCACCCTTCTGCTTCTTGTGATGACGTGAGATGATAAAATGCCTGCGTGGTGAGAGGAGGTGAGGTGAGTGACGTGGGACTGTGACAGTGTAGTATGAGGCCACTACTGACGTCTGACTATACGTCAGGGGGAGGATCATCTGCTTCCGGACCACAGCTGACCTTAAGTAACTGAAACTGCGGAAAGTGAACTGCAGATAAGGGGGAGCTACTGTATTTGAACTCAAATTATTGAATCAAAATATTTCAATAGTTAATATTAACACACAGATTAATTGTATACAAATTTTTACTCACCTTCTCTCCAGATGGACGGGGAATACCAACATAAAGATGATCAAGAAAATTTGCACTTCGACCTAACCCAAGTACACTGTATGGCAGCTGGAGAGCTAAATGTGCCGACTGGCTGAGTTGTCCAGCTAAATTTATTTAAAAAAAAAAAAAGGAAGAAGAAATCTTTGGAAACATTGCTCTCATCAAATATTAAAATGATAAAATGTTAAAAATGTATGTGCTAGAACTTATTCTTTAAAGATAAAAATGTGAAATGAAATGTCCAGTTCAGTAACATTAAAGATTTACTTTTTAAAGAAAACAGCTTTATTGAGATATAGTTCACACACCATAAACATCACCCATCTAAAGGGTGCAGTTAAGTGGTTTTGAGTATTTTCAAAAAGTTGCTGAGCCATAACCACAATAAAATTTTAGAACATTTTCATCGCTCCAAAAAAGAAACCCTATACCCACTAGCAGTTACTCCTATTTCTAACCTGTACCCTTCTAGCTGTAGGTAACCACTCATCTACTTTCTCTCTGGATTTGCCTATTCTGGAGCTTCATATAAATGCAACCATGCAATGTGTGGTCTTTTTATGAATAACACTGCTGTGAACACTCACATACAAGTTTTGTGTCAACTCATGTTTTCTAAAATGGCCGCACCATTCTAATTCCCCCCAGTAAGCTATGAGGGTTCCAGTTTTTCCACATCCTTGCTAGCACAATGTCTTTTTGATCATAGCCATTCTAGTGGTTGTGAATTGGTATCTCATTGTGGCTTCTATTTGCATTTACCTAATGACTAATGATGTTGAGCTTCTTTTCATGTGCTTATTGGCCATTTGTGTATTTTCCTTTTTATATCTGTAAGGTTGGTAGTGGTCTCCTCTTTCATTCTGGCTTTTAGTAATTTGAGTCTCCTCCTCTTCTTGGTCAGTCTAGTTAAAGGTTTGTAAAATTTTGTTAATCTTTAAAAAATCTTTTGGCTTAACAGGTTTTCTCTGTTTTTCTATTCCCTACTTATTTCCTCTCATATTTCCTTCCTTCTGCTTGCTTTGGGTTTAGTTTGCTTATTGATTTCAGATTGTTCCCATTCCTGAATATAGGCATTTACAGCAATAAATTTCCCTCTAAGAACTGCTGTAGCTGCATCCCATACATTTCGGTATATTGTGTTTTTGTTTTCATGTACCTAAAGTATTTTCTAGTTTCCATTGTGATTTCTTTGTGTGTTTTTTAGGAGTGTGTTGTTTAATTTCCACATATTTGTGAATTTCTAAATTATTACTGATTTCTTTTTTTTTTCCTTTTTCTCCCCAAAGCCCCCTGATGCATAGTTGTATATTTTTAGTTGTGAGTCCTTCCAGCTGTGGCATGTGGGATGCCTCCTCAGCATGGCCTCATGAGTGGTGCCATGTCCGCGCCCAGGATTCGAATCAGTGAAACCCTGGGCCGCTGAAGCGGAGTGCATAAACTTAACCACTTGCCATGGGGCTGGCCCCTTATTACTGATCTCTAGTATCATCCCATTATATTTGGGGAACATAGTGGGATGACTTCAATACTTTTAAATTTGTTGAGGCTTGTTTTATGGACCTAGCATATGGTCTACCCTGGAGAATGTTCCATGTGTGCTTGAGAAGAATGCTTAGTCTGCTGTTGTTGGGTGGAGTGTTCTGTACATGTCTGTTACATTTAGTTGGTTTATAGTGTCATTTTTTTCTTTCCTTATTCACCTTCTGCCTAGTTGTTTGATCCACTATTGAAAGTGAGGTATTAAAGTCTCCAATTATTTATTGTTGAATTATTGATTTCTCTCCTCAATTCTTCATGTATTCTGGGGGCTCTGCTGTTAGATGCATGTCTTTATAGCTGTTATAACTTCCTATGGAGATACTTTTTATTGTCATTATAAGATGTCCTTCTTTGTCTCCAGTAACAATTTTTGTCTTAACATCTAGTTTTATCTGATGTTAGAATGGACATTCCAGCTCTCTTTTGGTTACTCTTTGCAAGGTATAATCTCCCCCATCTTTTTACTTTCAACTTATTTGTATCTTTGAATCTAAAGTGTGTCTCTTTTAGATAGCACCTAGGTGGGTCATATTTTCTTATCCATTCTGCCTTTTGATAGGAGTGTTTATTCCATTTACATTTACTGTAATTACTAATAAGGTAGGATTTAGGTCTGCCATTTGCTATTTGTTTTCTATATGTCGTGTCTTTTTAACTCTTCTATTCTTTCATTGCTGCTTTCTTTTGTTAAATGTTTTCTAGTATATCATTTTAATTCCCTAGTTGTTTCTTTTGTTATATATTTTTTGAATTCTTTTCATAGTGGTTGCACTGGGGATTACAATTAGCATATTATCTTTAAAAAACCTTAATTCCTAGGGCATATGACAACTTTGCTCTCCCTACTTTGTGCTATTGTTATACAAATTTATTTTTATATATATTATCACCCCATGAACACAAGTTTCTAATTATTACTTTATGCAGCAGTCTTTTAAATCAGACAGGAAAGAAGAGGCATTACATAATAATAACACATGCAACATATTTTATATATCTACAGTCTTACTGGTATTTTTTACTTATTTGTGTAGGTTCAAGTTACTGTCTAGTTGTCTTCTCAGGTTCAGCCCAACGGGTTCCATTTAGTATTTCTTGTAGGGCAGGACTGCTAGTGATGAATTCTCTTTTTCTTTATCTAGGGGTGTCTAAATGTCTTCATTTTTGAAGGATAGCTTTGCCAATATAGAATTCTTGATTTGACATTGTTGTTTCTTTCATCACTCCCTTCCGGCCTCTATGGTTTCTGATGAGAAGTCAGCTGTAATCTTATTGAGGTTCTCTTGTATGTGACGAGTTGCATCTCTCTTTGTTTTTTGACAGTTTGACTATGTGTCTTAGTGTGGATCTCTATGAGTTTATCCTACTTGGAGTTGTTGAGCTTTTCAGATGAGCAGATTAATGTTTTTCATCAAATTTGGGTGGTTTCCACCATTATTTCTACAGATATTTACTGTGCCCTTTTCTTTCTCTTCTCCTTTTAAGACTCTCCTTATGTATATGTTGTTGTGTTTGATGGTGGCTCCACAGGCCTCTGAGGTTGTTCATTTTTCTTTCTGTAACTCAGACTGTGTACTCTTACTTGATCTACATTCACGTTTGCTGATTCTTTTGCTGGCTCAAATCTGTTGTTCAGCCCTGTATTGAATTTTTCATTTCAGTTACTGTACTTTTCAACTCCAAAATTTCTGTTTGATTTTTAAAAATAATCTTTATCTCTTTATTTGTATTTTCTATTTAGTGAGACATAGTTGCCATACTTACCTTTAATTCTTTAATGCTAGTTTCCTTTAGGTCTTTGAACATATTTGTAATAGCTGATTTATAGTTTTTGTCAACTTAGATATTGATCTTCCAGCACGTTTTCTGTTTTTTTTTTTTTTTTAAATGTGTATGTGGCATACTCCTCTTTCCTTGCATGCTTTATAATTTTTTGTTGAAAACTGGACTTAGGTAGTACCACAGTTGTTATATTATCTATCTCCCCCCAAGGGTTTGTAGTTTTTTCTTTGTTGTTGTTGTTGATGCTCATTTGTTTAGTGACTCTCCTGGATGAATGCTATAGATTCTGTATTCCCTGCAGTGCCTGCCATTAAGTTCTTTTATTTTCTTATTTTTAAAGGTCTTATTCTAAGCCTGGCTTCCTAGGGGGCATACCTGAGGCAGTATAACTTAGGGGTCAGCCAATGATTGGTCATAAGATTTCCTTAAATATCTTGTCTATATGTCTTCCAGCCTTTGTCAAGGGGATTTATGTGTGAAGGCATGCCTTCAAACTTCAGGGAGTTTACAGGACACAGGGCCTTGAGGTCAGGCAAAAGGGAACTGAGTATGTGAATGAGGTAGTTTCCCTTCTAGGCACGTTCACAGTCTTCTGGATCCCCAAGAATATGTTGTAGCTTTTCAAAGTTGACTATGGTTGTCTAGTTCCTCAGGACTTCCTGTTATGTTTTGGCCAGGCTTTTCTTCACTGCACCATAGGCTTAGGCAGCTGAGATTTTGCCAGTAGATTGTTGTTTTTGTTGGTAATGCCCTGGGGATAGGGCTTTTCTTTTTTTCTTCTCCTGCTGGGCTGAACTCTGAGTCAAGTCAAATAGCCCCTACATCCTGAGGATGGAGATTTTCCAGGGAGTTGCTAGTTTGGACAAAATATTGACAGTGCTGTGCAGTTGGGAATTTTAATAGAGCTCCAAAGGTCAGTCCTGGCCACTGACTGTGAGGCTGCTTGCTTTTCAGGGCTGCTGTCCACTCAGGAGAGAAAGGAGGTGGGATGGGAACAGCCTCAAGTTAAAATGCACAGACCCTGTTATCTCATCGAGGATTAGTAGTTTCTCTTGGACAGACGACACACAGTCCATTCTGTGGCTTTGGCTAATTTCCAGAGTTCTGAAATGGTTGATATGAGTGTCTGGCCAGTATTTTTGTTGTTTTTTGGGAGAGCAGGTTCATGAAGTCCTCACACTGGCATTTGAACAGTCAATCTCTCCCTATTATGGTGTTCGCTACATACTTAAGATTTAAATACAAGGTTAATTAGTATCTAAATATTTTAATTAATTAATTAAAAAATGTTTTAAAATCTACGTGTGTCAATGAAGGGTGAAGTTTCATTTTTTTTGTGAGGAAGATTGGCCCTGAGTGAACATCTGTTGCCCATCTGCCTCTTTTTTTTCCTTTCCTCCTCAAAGTCCCAGTACATAGTTGTATATCCTAGTTGTAAGTCATTCTAGTTCTTCTATGTGGGACGCCGCCTCAGTATGGCCTGATGAGTGGTGCATAGGTCTGTGCCCAGGATCTGAACCGGTGAACCCTGGGCTGCTGAAGCGGAGCATGCAAACTTAACTACTTGGCCATGGGGCCGGCCCCTACATATTTTAATATTCACTGGGACTCTGCTAAACCTCACTAATGTTACCTGGAAATATGAAATCATTGGAAAGTATATATCTGATTCTTTATATATTTCTTATGTTAATAAGTTAGGCATTTTTTTTCCTCCCCAAATCCCCCCAGTACATAATTGTATATTTTTTAGTTGTGTTTATGATATTGTAAAGCAAAA